GAACCACTATAAATGATTTCCAATTGTTAATATATATCAAAAGAAAGATAAATCGATTACCTTTCTTTTAATTAAAATACCATTGAATTCGTTTAACATTTTTATGGAAATTTCGCAACTTTTGAAATCATCTATGTATATGTAAGCAGTGGAAAAGTCCTCAAATTTTGTAGTTGTAAGAAAACTGAATTTTCGTAAACCACGATAAATGATTTCCAACTGTTAATATATATCAAAAGAATAGTAAATTGATTAATATATTATTATTATTATTATAGTTTAATATCTTTATACATAGATTTATTTAATATCCCGTTTTGTAGAATGGTTATGATGATGTCTTAGAAACGCTTGCCATAATTGATTATTAATAAAATAAAGGTTTATACTTTAAAAGGATTTTTTATTTCAAATTGATATTCTTTATTTTTTTTAACTTATTGCTTTTCCACACCACCACTGAGGTTGCAATAAAGGCGCGTTACCGATTTTTTTTTTTTTTGGGTGTTCGGTTCCCCAGGAGGCCTATTTTCACCCATACTATCTACAAATACGAAGTGCATGCATATAAGAAAATCTAAAAATTGGCAAAATCCACGAAATACGAAAAAACTACACAAATCTACTTGGAAAAAACGACTATGACTAATAATAAAATCTAAGAAATAGCAAAATCCACGAAATACAAAAAAACTACACAAATCTACTTGGAAAAAACGACTATGACTAATAATACTACATACAAGAAAACTACTTTATACAAATTTATATACAATATTTACAAAATCACCCACAGTAAATCAAAATCAAAAAAAAAAATCGACAAATTCAAAGTAGGGGTATGTCTGACGGTGCCACCTTTGTTCGCTGCATCGTGCATATTGGGCAAATGACGTTTTTAAATGCATTTTACATACATACATATGTACCAGTTCAAGATGAAAAAAGAAACCAAAATTAGTAATTTTTTTATGAATGTAGTTAAAAAAAGTTCACAGAGGAAATGCCGGTAATCAATCTATCGGCAATCACATAAAATCTATGTAGGGAAATTTAGATGTCAACAGAATAATAACTACAATAAAAACCACCACAGAAGTGTGAGAAGCAGGCAATTTTTCAATCTGAGCAAAAAATTCTTTAAATGCCGTTGTAAAAAGGTCAATACATTTCTTATAAAATAGTTTGATTTTTGATGGGTGGTATAATAAAATTTTTAAAAGTAATAAATAGGAAAAAATGCACTAAATATGTGAATTTAAATATTTTACCCAAATTCATAAAAAATTAAGAAATCGATTTTTTTATAAAAATGTCACTGTACAGAGCTATTTAAATCTATTTTATTTTTTATGAATAACGTCATTAGCATATACCGTTTTTATAAATGAATCTTGTAGCGTCGCGCTATATACATACATAGGTACATATATATATTTTGGCTGGCGAAATATGTACTTTTGCCAACTAATTAAAAAAGCGTATGATTCAATTTAACCACATTAAAAAAGTATTTAAATATTTTATGGCGCAACACAGCAACACTTTTTGTTTCACAAAACCCTTGAATACGAGCCTGTCATCTATTTCTTCTATTTCGACATTTCGCTATTTTACATTTCTTTCATTTAACGACATTCGCATTGTCACATTTCTCAAATTCGTTGTTGCTTCGACATTCTGCTATTTCATAATTATTTCATTCTCATGTCATCCATCTTCCATTTCTTACCTTCCATTGCCGTTCGCATCGTCGAACGTGCCTGTTAAACACTGCCGCCATCATGCTTTTCAGTTTGGCAGGCACGTCCGCTGTTTGGCAGGCACGTCCGTTGTTAGAAAGAGAATAGACAAAAAGGGGCATAGGATTCCATACTTGTAAGTATATACGATGCTTACGATCCAATACGTTCCAATTTTCGCTCTCTATTACCCATTTTGTTGAGGACGGGAATGATTTCTGGGCTATTTTGGGCATCCGCGGGATCCCGCGTTGCGTACGGGAAAGAACCTAATTATCTACTAGAAAGAAAAGAAACAAACCTATTGAATGGACCTTATTATCAGCTGTTAATGAATAAACTAAAGTCAATAAAAAATAGATGTTGATTCGTTTTCCTTTAAAGGATATTCCCACGAGTTTTAAATACTAATATTTCTTGAACATAAAATAAGATTTTGAAACGAGTCAACAGTCCGAGTTAAGACTACTGCCGAAAAAATGGTGATCAGGTATGTACATATTATAAATTTATCAACGGAAGTGCTGATTTTTACGTAATGATTTTATTCCACATGTACACACTAACTTTATTGCAATCCAGCTTGCTAGTACGTGCCGGCATTGTTGTTGGTGCCGTATATTACTCTAAGAAACTGGGAGTATGGGGTAGCTCCGAAGAAACCGAAAAATTGTATAACGAGTTAAAGGAAGGGTTGCGTCCACATGCAAAAGAGCTGGAAAAGAAACTGCCTTTTGATGTACCCGCTCTACCTCAAACTGGAGAAGCTCGATTCCTGGCTAAGCACTACTACAACGAGGGTGTAAAAAAAACGTTTCATTTCATTGAAATGCTTCCGTGTTACACCGGGCAATTAATTCATAAAGCCAAGGTAGAATTTGAAAGATTCTCTCAACCTCCATCTTCGAGCACAGATAAATAAAGTTGGGCATACAAAACTTGGTATATTGTAAATTCTACACTAATTGATTGACCAATGCATACTATTAAATTAATTTAAAACACATGTATATCGTTAATAGCGATATAAAAGGTAGGCGTATATTCGAGTTGCAATAAATGCATCAGTGCTACTTTTCACGAAAGAACATCATGTTCTTTGCGAAAGATTGCAATATTGCGGCAATTATTATGAAGCTGGAGCGCATAGTTCTATGTGAACAAAATATTGAGTCCAACGTTTGTCCCTTTTTCCATAGTTATAAGACTCCCTAAAGTTGTGCAAATTTCTTGCTGAAATAAACCAATTTGGAAACGTAAATGAAAATAATAAAATTTAAAAAGTGGACTGCTAAAACTGACTTAGCAGCGCAGAAGAGTTCCACAAGAAAAAAGCAATAATTATACCTACCGGAAACGTTTTTTGGAAAATTAGGAAGTAGCCACTGTCTATTTCTAAATACCAACCATGGTGCATGTGCATTAGACCGGACCACGATGCATGGGGCGAATTTTTTTTTTACTTTCCTGGTAGCTAGTGTTCAAAATCGCTTGGAATAAACTCAACTTTTTTTCTAATACGGTTAAATGAGTCTATGTAGATTTTACATCCAAAAAAGGTCCAGAGTACTTTGAAAGTTATGGCAGGTGCAGTTTTCGAAATATCGCGCTGGTATGAACCGAGTATGGATAGCAACCTCAGCAAAAAAAAAACCTACACCTGCTGTGTATGCCAGAGACGACTACACCACAACTCCACCTCAGTCAGGTGCAATGCTTGCGACGGGTGGAGTCACCTCAGAGTCTGCTCAGGACTACCGACCCATCGGCAGTGGACCACATCATTTCGAGGGCCCGTCTTGCGCAGCTCGGTCGCAAACCCCAACTGCGACGCCGTCCACTACCACCACAGGGCGGCAACCTCCACAGCAGCACACACAGCCAATGGCGGCAAGGCCACACACATCCCTCACACCCCGCATAATTACACGTCTCCCGATCCACATGAAGCTCCTTCAGTTTAACTGTAACGGACTTCAGAGCAAGATCGAGGGGAACCGTCTTTATGGGAAGGCATGGTATGTTGATAGCTGCGGTGCAAGAGACGAAGTTGCACAGCAATCCAATATTGTTGTGCAGTATCGTCTTATTTCATTTCGTTTCATTTCATTTCATTTATTTTAGTCTATGACTTTAACAATCTTACAGACTAGATTACATAATAGGTTAGAATAATAGAGATTATATTAATTATACAATGTTTCAATATTAGATTTAAATATCAATCTCGGCAATGAAAACTCAATATTTACAATTTTCGAGATTTTATTAAACTCTGTGAGGGCTCTATATATTAAAGCAGACATCGACCGCAGGCATACCAGCCTAGAATGTCAGGGCATTGCTATCCGGTCAGGCGATGTTGAGCTCGAAATATTTAACGTGTACATACCCCGTCACTTGCTGCCCGGCAGGATATCACCCTGATGAGGTGCGCTCCTCAGAGGTGAAAACCGTATGGCAGTAGGTGACTTTAATGCGCACCACGATCTTTGGCACTCAAGCCTGTCAAACGATCGTAGGGGAACAGACTTGGCTGAGCGGATAGACGATTCGACATTCTGCACAATGAACGACGACGCACCCACCAGGATTATGGGCAGCTGTTGCAGCTCGCCAGATATAACAATAGTCAGCGCCCCCCTTGCTTTCAGTAGCGGTGAAGTTCAGGAAAGCCTCCAAAGCCATGGGTCCAGACGGATTATGCATGCTGATGCTGACAGCTGGAAGGTGGGGAGAGTGGTCCCACTGCTCAAACTGGGGAAACCAGCCAACAAAGGAGAATCGTATCGGCCGATAAAACTCCTTTCCCCGGTAGCGAAGACACTAGAGGTCTTGCTGCCCCCGTATTTCACGAACCACCTGACCCCAGCGAAGCATCAACATGGTTTCCGTAGAGTGCACAGTACAACAACACCACTTAACGCCATAAACACTCAGATAACACGAGGCCTTAACCGCAACCGCAACTATTCTAGTAGCGTTGGACCTGTCAAAGGCGTTTGACACCGTCAGCCACTCCACGCTACTAGAAGATATAGAGGCTTCCTCTCCCACAGAAAAATAAAACAGGGGGTTCCACAGGGTGGTGTCCTTTCCCCGCTATTGTTTAACTTTTATATTCCAAAGCTCCCTCAACCACCAGAGGGAGACTCGATTGTCTCTTACGCCGACGATTGCTCGATCATGGCGACTGGGAATGGAATTGATGACTTGTGTTCAAAAGTAAACGGGTATCATTCCGAGCTTTCTCGCTTCTTCACTGCAAGGAGCCTAACCCTCTCCACTACGGAATCCTCTGCGACCTTGTTCACCACCTGGCTCAGTAGTCACCTGGCTGGTCAGGCTACCGCTGGGAATTCACGTCGATGATACACCTATTTCGACGGTGAATAACCCCAAAATACTCGGGGTTACCTTCGGCAGTCTGCTCTCCTTCTCTGCGCACGCAACCGCTATTGTCAACAAAGTACAGAGCCGCAACAAGGTCCACAAGTCGCTAGCCGGCAGTACTTGGGGCAAAGACAAAGAAACGTTGCTTGCAACATACAAGGCAATAGGCCGGCCGGTTTTAAATTACGCAGCAACAGTGTGATCGCCGGAGACTAGTAGGACGCAGTGGATGAAGCTGCAGACGACGCAAAACACCGCACTACGGACAGCGACTGGATGCCTTCTGATGTCGCCTGAACACCAAAACCTGCAAATCGTGAAGCATCTGGAACGCAACTATAATGTTTTTATGATGGTATTATGGGGTGCACTCTACAATAATTTGAGTTGAGTTTATTGTACACCGAAGTTGAGTAAAATGAGTATGTACATTACAAACTTACAAATTTTTTAAATTTTTTTAGAATTTTTTTGAGTATGCAGTTTTGTAGCCCATTTAATTTTAGTATAATAAAGTGCAAGTTTTAAGCTCCTGCAAAAATTGTGTGGATTTTTAATATTTTTTATGCTGGCGGCTTTTTGCACCACTTTTTGCACTTTTTTCTTATGAAAGAAAATGCGCAAAACTGTTTTCAAAGAAAATTAAAAAAAAAATTAACGCCAGTTTTACAATCGTTCAAAATTTGCACTTTATTATACTAAAATTTAATGGGCTAAAAGGTAAAAGTGCATACTTAAAAAATTCATAAAAAAAAATATTTGTAAATTTGTAAAGTACTCATTTTAGTCAACTTCGGTGTAAAAAAAATCATAACTCAAATTGTTGTAGAGTGCGCGCCATAACACTATACTGAAATATTGCGCAATACTCAGAGCTACCATTGCGATTTTTCGCTATTTTTTTTTTTGAGATGGTATATTTTCAAAAATTTAACTTTTTTATCAAAAAAATGTATGTGAAAAAATTTTCAAGAAAAAAAATGTTAAAAATATTTCTTTTCATAGTGCATTTCGATATGTGTTTGTGTGATTTTTTTCAAATTTTTCCTCGCCCCCTTCTCGAGATATTTGGAAAACTATTAAATCGATTTTTTGTGCTGAAGTTTTTAAAAATGTATTAATCAAGCTCAAATTTCGTATTTATTTATTGTTTATGTTTATGCATCAACCCTAAAAATTTTAAACAAATCAAACAAAAAGTGTGCACCCAGTCCGTTTTGGTACGGAACGCCCCATATGCACATAGATTTACAGTGGCGTTCGAAAATGGATGAATGGTGTTTCGTTGTTAATATTTACAACGTTTTTCAAGTCAAAATTTTTTTGATATTTTTTTATAAAGATATGGTTCGTGCTTTAATAAAAACTATAAATCACACTTTCAAACTTTATAAAGAGGTTAGAAAAATTCCACAAATCTCTATCTAAATTTCGAGCTTTTTTAACAGAATTTTTAGAAATTTTTTGGGCATGCAGTTGACAGGCTTATAAAAATCTAGTAACATAAGTGTAGGTTTTGAGCCGCCACAAATCGCATTGATTTTCATTTTTTTTTTTGTCGACGGCGTTTTGCACTTTTTTCATATAAACATGAATTCCTTGTTGAAGAATATTCCCAAGACCGAAGATAGACCAAGACAAAAGATAAAAAGCCAAGGCCAGTTTTCCCTAAATTTTGCTATTTGTATGAAAAAAAAAAAAAAAATCCGTCAGCACAAAAATAATAATAATCAATGCAATTTTAGGCGCTCAAAACCTGAACTTCACTTATTAAAATTTTATAAGCCCGTTAACTGCATTCCCAAAGAAAAAAATCTAAAAATTCTGGTTAAAAAGTTCGAAATTTAGATAAACATTTTTGGAATTTTTCTAGGTTCTGTATAAAGTTTGAAAGTTTGATTTATATAGTTTTTGTTAAAGCATGAACCATATTTTTAACCGACTTCCAAAAAAGGAGGAGGTTATCAGTTCGTCGCATTTTTTATACCCGAGCGCACTTTGGCGCAAGGGTATATTAATTTTGTCCACATAACGGTTGTTTGTAACAGCCAAAACGAATCGAGATAGATATAGACAAATGTATACATAAATGCTCAGAATGAATAGAGTCGATTAAGCCATGTCTGTCTGTCCATCCGTCCGTGTGTAACTCGAGCAAAAATTGAGATATCTGAACGAAATTTGGTATTTAGGTTTCCGCTAATCCAAGGTAGGTTGGTATTGAAAATGGGCGAAATCGGACTGTAACCACGCCCACTTCCCATATAACGGTAATTTAGAGAAATATAAAATCTTCGATAAATCAGTAAATTTAAAACCTAATTTATTCAAAATTGATGCTTGCAACCAGGGTACGAAAATAAACTGTACAAAACAATTCCCATTTGCTCA